TATTCCTTGCGTTTTTCGCGCCTGAAGTCATCCTCACAGTATCTAATCATGTAAGCAAAATGTTGTTTTATTTCACCGTCGCTGTGAAGGACTGGCTCACACGGGCATTCAATGAAAGTTCGCTGCTGCCGTGGTGACTGATTAATGCTGACAGAGGAGTTCTCTGCGCGCACCGCACGTGCATAAATGACTTCGGTGAGGTATGCTTCTAAGTTGTGGCTGTGAGCCCTGCAAACTCGTAAGTATGCACTAATTCGTGAAGATCTTCGCGACGAAATCTGACCAGCCATAGAGCTGTGCGCTTTGACGACCACTCCATTAGATTCCGCACATTCTCATAATTTGACTTTCCGCACCACTAAGAAGCTTACCTGTTGAAAACATTCGTCGTTGTGCTTGCTAGCTGTTAGTGTGGTTGGAGCAACTCTAAACCGTTATAGGGATCATCGCGAATGTGATATACCTTGACGAGAAACAAGGTACTGCTGCACAGTCATTCATACAAGTGAATACAGCACGCAGTAGTATAGGAAACATCCAACGCCGCAGTGTTGTAAACACAAGAATACGGAAGCTCAAGAAAAACCACGCAAACTCATCACATAGACAAAGCAAACACAGTGGTAAGCATGGTTCGTCTGCCGCAGGAAAACTTCAAAAATAGCTCCAAGCCAGGAGCATCGCTGCGCCACATTGCGACTGACTTTCAGTTCGTACTCCCTATGTAAATTACCACGCATCTCGGGCATTCTCACTATGACTAAGAACCCAGAACCGCTTAGAAACGTGTTTTTTCTCTAAAATATACTTTGGTTGGAGTTTTCTCATTCCTTTAGTTTTTGTGCCATTCAAGCCGACTTCTGCGAAACGTTGACTTTTGATGCAAATATCATTTTTATGTACAGAAGGTGTCAAAAGATCACAAGCCACGCTGCCTTAGGAATACATATCTTAGGAGCCTGGGAACTTTTGACCCCCCTGTATATGGGGAGGCTTCACTTCATGTTATATTTTTGCAATCCATAAAACAAATTCTTAATTTAAAAAAAAACATACGGTTTTGAGTGCTTAGATGCTGTTGCCCTGCACGACGACATTACTAATAAGCCTTGCCCCTACTTGCGTTATGTTGCCCTTAGTAGTGTACAGCAGTGTAGGAACAGAAGATTCCGTATAGACCAGGGCACGTACATTTCGAATCCAGCCGCCTAGGCTCGCGGCGCATACTTCCGCACCCTGATGGCTATTTTGTTTGGGACTGCCAAGGCGTGTATCTGTTGTGCCTAGTTAAGACGGCAATTGGCATCTCAGAGACTTGAAAATACAAGAAAGTGCCTTCACGCCACTCCCTCTTCGAAGAAGTGTTTTGAGGACCAGTGCACCGTTTTTGCACGCGGAAACAATCAGCTCAAGAGAAATATAATGCAGAGCACTGTATGTGAAGATCACAACATGACGCGTAAATCATGCCGGTGGTGTGTCTCGAGGTTACACTGGTGTCCATTCGCAACGAAAAACGTCGAGCTCCGCCGCCAGTGGATAATTGTCATCCACAAGAAAAACTATGAGCCGAGTAAACGAAAACAACTAAATACACTCCCTTCGTGTATTGAAAAGTGAAGCCAGCTCTTTCACCTTGCAGCAGTAAGTTGAGCGAAGTATGTCTGTGGTTTGAGGCTCCAAACCAATGCCGTACTCTTCTGCAAGCCGCATGCCAATATAAAGAAATATTACGACACACGCGCACATGCACACACTGCGCCCGTTGAATACAAATGTAACGGCGTACTATAGCGATGCAAAGAAACATGAACAGCGGAAGGCGTAGCTTTCGACTGGGTCGAACTGCGATGTGCCTTGACTGGATTGGATAAACTTTTATTTGGTCCTCCGAAATACAGATCACTGTCGCTATCAAAATCTATACTTTGACTATCACTTTGCGAATCTGTCCTCGTAGCAATATGAAATCATTGTCTGGTTCAGCTGGCACTTTCGCACTGCGTGTGCGTTCCCAATGCCAAGCATGACTGTTAAATGATTACACATGCGGTGCATGAGCGCAAGCCAGAGCTGAATTCTGGCACAACGGTGACGCTGTTTGAAAGCACAAATTTGCCTAGCGACCGTCAAGGCATGTCGCAGTTCGACTAAGCCGAAAACCACCCTTCCCGCTGTTCAGATTTCTTTCAATCGCAATAGTACGTACATGATCAAACGTAAATATTACCCTACTTGACCACATGGTCCAATATCAGTCTTTTTATTGAGAAATAGTTGCGCCATGTGGACAGCTGGTTTTCATGCGACATCAATAGAGACACGAATTTTAGGCCACTACCTGTTTTTTTTTCTTTGCGTAGCTGCCATGTCAATTTCATACATGAGCCTGAACTGTAAGTTAAAAATGGTATTTATAGCGCTTTGATAGGGCCTCCAAATGCCCCTTTTTGTTGTTTGTGCCTGTAGGCTTAGAAGTGCCTATAAATATTCATTTTTCACATAACAACTATTTAGCTTCGCCTCCAGCTTTGCTCTCATCCGCCACTTTGAAAAAGTTATACATGTTACCGTGGCAGATTGACTTTTTGAACAATGGGGTACGACCCAGTTTACTCTTTCCACAAAATTCCGAGAAAAAAACTGCTCCCAGCAGTGACGCAGAACACGCCAGTGAGCATTCGCCGCTTCATTGGCATGGCGTGAGTGGTTGGTCAATTTGAGACCGCGGAACGTCTTCAGCGGAAATAAAAGTGAGGAGCGAAAATTTAAAGAAAAATTGTAATGTGTCTGCGTTAGTTTAGGGGTGAAGCTCCTTAAAGCATAACCTGGTCGGTTGCCCTTCCGTCCTGCGTAGCCAACATATCCCCGGAGTGAATGATTATGAGTGGGGCGAAGCGTCCATTCATCGATTAGTGTTCTATTGGGATAGGAGCCTACAGACAGACAGACAGACAGACAGACAGACAGACAGACAGACAGACAGACAGACAGACAGACAGACAGACAGAAGCATAGGTGGACATACGCATGGACGGACCGAAGCATGGGTGGACATACGCATGGATGGACGCACAGCACCAACGCACAGACGCACGGACAGACGTACGTAGGTTCCCTCATTTATGATCAGTTTCCCCCACTCCGTGGATATGCTGTAATGTTTGTTAGTAATTATTTGTAAGGCGCTCAGGCGCTCACTGCAATAGTGTAGTCAAAATATTTTCAGAAGGTAGCAAGGTTCAACCATACTGTAGCGTATTTATGCGTGCGATTGTATGGGCTTGAGTATTATATATACTAATATAATATATATATATATATATATATCATAATTATATATAATTATATATATATATATATATATGAATCAAAACTAAGGAGTTGGGCACTGAACCCTGCGAACACCTCTCTCTTCTCTCAGTGTACTGCAGTTGCAGTTGTTCACTGCCAAGGGAGAATTCAGATGTTACCTCTCCACAATCAAACTCGGCCAATGGGTAAAATTCATCTCTTCTGCTTTTTAAGCAATCTGGCTGTCTGCTCCTTTTCTTCCCTACTCTGTCATTTCCAAAAACTGATCAGGAGTAAGTTGATTAGACAGTGGGCACTGAATTCATCATGCAGAACATGGCGTGGGCGGGGCTTTGAAAAACATGCGGGACAACAGTGCGGCTATGTTTAATCCTTGCAACTCTTATGCCGTCTTGAGAATTCGCATTCTTGATTTTCTGTCATCAAAAAGTTCGCACATGTTTTTGTTTGAAAATATTTGCATTGATGAGCAAATCTATTTCCGACGGTGTGATTTTGTGAAAATTCACGAGATTGAAGCTTGAACTTCATTTTTACAGCACAATTACACATTGACCTAGATTTTTTTGAAGTCACAAGAAAGATATAATGTATGGTGTGAAATGCGGGAAAAAAGCTGCGATACAAACGCAGCTTGACTAGCCCCACATCCCAACAAAAAAAAGGCAGAAAGAGTGACACCAATAATAACGAGGTGAGCTAGAACATTAAACAGACAAACAAATACATAGTTGAAAGCATGCATGAAGCTGTGTTGCCTGCCTATTTTATCACGCACCGAAACCTGCTGTTTCGCGCATATAGATTTCCGACTCATAATTATTATAGAAAACTATGGTCACGTTAGGTGGTGTATGATGTATGTTGTAGGTTACTGACATATGATGGTTGCTGGAGAGTAAAGACTGAGTTTGAAACTGCCGTACAGCGTCAAAACTGTGGTGCCTATATGTCACACACAAGCCACTATAGAAAGCGACGTAGGAAGTACTAGTACAACGGCAAAAAAAACGTGCAACGGATGTTCACCACATTCATGGCTCAGACGAGATCCCTTCCGAGCGCCAGCCGCGTATGTTGCCACTGCACCATGTCCAAGCACGCCATGTCCAAGCATCATGTCCAGGCATGAAATTACCACTCCACACGGGTACACACCGTTTGCCTTTGCGTGTCGCATACTCTGTCAATACAGCATTCGAACTTCTATTTCTTCATTTCAGTACAGCATCCTGTCAATACAGCATTCTAATAACTTCTATTTCTTCATTTCATCCCAGCGCCTGTCCCCATTGCCAACAAGTGAACAATTTCAATTTGTATTGTTACTGCCGTGACTAATTTTGGGGTCATGGCCACGTCCATATAACGTAATCACTGCTGTAGCGGGCAAACATGTACTTTTCTAACTACTGAATATTTTCAGAAAGATTTCTTAAAACATGCTTTACTTACGTACATGTTCAGTGTGTAATCATTCAGTATAGGATACAGCAAGCTTCTACCTTTTTGTACTGCCTTTCGCTTACTCCCCAAAAAATACAGGAATAAAAATGAAAATTACAAAAGTGGGAACGTGTGTCTCCAAATGTGGAACCTTTTAGTAGTAATAAGAATTCTATTTAAAATTGCCAAATATATTGAATGCCAACATCATATTGCATAATAAAACACTTTTGTCTTACTGTAGTCTTGGTGCTTAGGAATCCGTGTTTGTGCTGGCTCTTCAAACAACTTGTGCGGAATATGACCGTTGATAGAACGGGGCATTTCCAGCAGAGGCTTAATACGCATAGTGTCGTTGATGATGCCTTCCTTTAGAGAGAAGTAGGAAGAGATGCATTGTAGCGGGTGATTTTTTTAACTGAAAAATACAGTTGAAGTTTTAGTTGAAGAAAAGTTTTGCTGGTATAGCTATAGTGTGTGATTCAGGCAATAAAAAGTATGCCAGCAATTTCGAATGCAAACAAAATAGATTTCATGCAGGGTAAAGTAGATTACGATGCTGGCGTGATACATGTTGCTAACCTGCCACTTTGTTCCCAACATACACCTGTATGAAAATTTTTACCGAAAGTTAGAAATTACGGTCACTGGTGACTTCATCACAAGTTGATTGATCGTACACAAATGGTGTATGCGTGATGTACGTGAAAACGATGTAGTATGTAAGCAAATATGGTTGCGCAAAAATGACTGAAGACGCTCAAAAATCACTTGTAGAAAAACCATCTATTACCCTTGGCTGGCTTTAACAAGGCGCGCTCGCTCGTTACAGAGGTCGCCGTGGGAGACTGCTGCTTGTCCACGCGTGCGCGCGCGATTGCACTGAAGAAACCGTTCATTCGATGAAAAAAAGTGTTCAAGGTCCCGAAACGCGCGCGATGTTTTCTGTGGCCCTGCCATTCATTCCTGCTTAGCTTCCAGCTGCATCTTTACTCCGCCATATCATTGACGACCTCTTGGCCGTGCACTCCGCATGTGGCTCTAAGGCACGCAGTACTGTTCTGATGACAGGTTTCACGTCGGGATCCGTCTCACAAACTTTGCTGCCACAAAACAATATTACAAGTCGAAGCTGGGGTGGTCGTAGTGGACAGCGGATAGCAAGGAGACCCCCTTGAACAGATCGGTATAACATCTGCAGTCATTATCAGAGCGTGTGTGCTCCATTGACTTGATCCAGTCAGCATCGGCAGTTCCGGCAACATGTATGCTCTTGCGGATGACACCAAGCAGGCAATTTTGAGTCCCGACGTACCACCTGAACGCCGCACGGACCACCACGAAGCTGTTGCTGTCGCCATATAAATTACCCCCAATTGTTCGGACCGTCACCAGCTGAGTCAAAGCAGAAGTGATAACAGCAGGGAACCTGCAGGCACCAAACCGAGTTGCAGCGTCGCAAGGACAGAGCACTGAGCACAACCAGTTTCGTCCACCAGAGTCGCCATCGATTGAAGTGAGAGCGAATTTTCATTTCCATCGTGTACAGCGACAGTTCGACCGACCAAGTCTACATTTCCAGTCACAGCGTGCCAAGTCTCAGCATGACCACGTCCGGCCGTGGCGGAACAGCTAATGGCACCCGCCGGATTGGTATAACGATATATATATATATATATGATGATATATATATATATATATATATATATATATATAATGCCACAGTTCGACATTCACAGCAGACGCGTGCAATGATTTGCGTTCTAAAAGCCGCCGCACAAGTAGCAAGAAAACCGCGCCATGGAACGTCGTCCTGCACGCACCTCGATGCTACGCCAAGGAACCGGCACGAAACTCGAAGTAAGGAAGTAAGGAGGAAGAGACCAACGAAGTGGAAGACAGCGAGCAAGGGGCATTTTGGCTGACCATTTAGTTTCGAGGTACGGGCTCAGGTTCGCCCCAAATAAATAGTTTGTATAGTACCACGTGCTACATTTATTGGTAACAATATATATATATATATATATATATATATATATATATATATATATATATATATATATATATATATATATATATATATATATATATATATATATATATATAGTCTAGTAGATCCTCCGTGAGCGGTCACAACGTGGTTTATTTGGACGTTTCGGCCTAGAGTCTGGCCTTCATCAGGGCTGATGGGAGCATGTTGTTGGGAGCAGGCGTCTATTACGTCGAACATGGTTTCTCGACACTCCCGCTGCGCCGCTTCCTGGCTGCTGACGGCTTACATGCAAGCTTCGAGGGGGTCGCGCTGCTGGCACAGCACACGAGGGTGCAGCTGCGATGGACGTCGGCGGCATGGAGATCGGTGGCAATCGCTTGCACGGACATTTCCAGTGCCAAGCCCCCTCAACAACAAGAAGCCGAGCGACACACAGAGCCATCCAGGGCACCAGCAGTGACGATGTCGCCACTACCACCAGCGAGGCCAGCGAGCCAGTGGGTCCTACCAGTGAGTCAGAGATCGGCGGCAACGGCTTGCACGGCAAACTCCAGTGCCAAACCCACTCAACAACAGGGAGCCGAGGGACACAAAGAGCCATCCAGGGTCCCAGCAGTGACGACGTCGCCACTCCCACCAGCGAGGCCTTACAACACCAGGCGGACGAATGCGGCGAAGACCAAGGCGGCGGCTTCCAAATGACACGGGGAAACAAAAGGTACGGGCAGTCTTAAACACGCATGGTCCCACTCATTTCTATCGATTAGGACAATCATTGAAAAGCGGGTGCAATACGAAAAACACGCAGAACAACTAAACAAATATCTATCTCACGAAATTGCACCTAAGGGTCTACTCCTAGCCTGCAACCCCTCAATGTCTACACTAAGTGAAGCAGAAAGGGGGAAGTGGGAAAAAATATTACTATAAGCGTCCTTGCAACTGACTCGGGTCATTGCGGACCATTGTGAGCGTAAGGCCGCCGAACACAGTGTCACGGAGGCCACGCAGAAATTGGTATCTAATCTCGGAGAGCATGAGGCAAGAGAACTGGAAAGATATGAACTAAAGAAGAGAGGCGAAATTTCAGTAGTAAAAGATAGAAAATTCAAGCGGGACTGCAGTAGCTCCACTGCTCTGCAACAGGAAAATAGGAATGAGGCCGTACAAGAACACCAGGGACCACCCGTACCACAACCTAACTTTGAGGAGAAAAATGGGAACTCAGAACCACAGTGCAATCCTAATCAAAACATCCTTACTCTCGAATATGACGCTGACACTCCCGTGCCACGTGATAGCCAAGAGCAGCCGAAAACTTATGAGGAAAATGTCCTCAATCTGTCAAACACAACACTCACACCCGCTCAGCTTCAACTTTTGTCGAGAGGCTTGACCTTTTGTCCATCATCCGGTAGATTCAATGAATTTGAACTGTACCAAGACCTCGATAACTTTGCGCGTAATCTCCGCCTCCGTGAATACTTTCATGATCGCAAGGACTGTACGAACGAGAATAGAGTGATTGGTGGTGACAGATCATGGTGTCCGGGTGAGCAGAGGGACAAACACCTCGATATGTATATATCAGCAGTTCAAAAAGATATCATCAGAGCGTATGGAAAAAATCGGCCATTTCGAAACAACATATCAAAGTCAGAACGAAGGGCACTCGATGAACTACGAAAAAACACTGGAATTACTATCCAACCGGCTGATAAAGGAGGCTGCATAGTAATTCTAAATACGTCGGACTACTTAAAGGAAGGAGAACGACAGCTATCAGACACAAAATTCTACAAAGAACTTCCAACGGACCCGACTCCCGAATTTGAAAGGGAGATAAAAGTAACCCTAAACAATCTCCGCCGGGACGAGAAAATTACCGGCAAAATGTTAAAAGCAATGTTACCGGCCCACTCTGTTCCCGGTCGATTCTATTTGCTCCCCAAAATACACAAGGCAGGTAATCCGGGACGTCCGATAGTATCCAGTAACAGCACATCAACAGAAAATATATCAGAATTCATAAATTCCTTAATAAAAAACATCCCCCCAAATTTTCCCTATTACCTAAAGGACACAAACCACTTCATCTGCGAAACTTCAAGTCTCGACATCCCAGACGGCAGTTTTCTGGTGACCATGGACGTCTGCTCACTGTACACCAACATACCCCACCATGACGGAATAGCGGCTATGGTTTCTGAATATATAAAATCTGACTCATCAACTAGTGTAAGTGGCGAGGTACTGTTTACACTTCTTGAACTTGTACTAAATTATAACCATTTTGAGTTCAACGGCAAGCATTTCCTTCAGGTTAGTGGCACTGCAATGGGCACGAAAATGGCCCCAAACTTTGCGAGCACCTTTATGGCTTCACTTGAAATCTCATTCATTGAGGGACGCACCTTAAAACCTTTCTACTACAGAAGATACTTAGACGATATTTTTATGATATGGAACCATGATGAGGGAAGTCTTTTCCGCTTCATAGAGGATTTTAACAAATGCCACCCGTCAATAAAATTCACGCACAAAATTTCCAAAACTAGCATTAACTTTTTGGACGTTACTGTCACGGTCGAAAATGACCGCTTGTCAACAAACCTTTACAAAAAGCCTACAGACCGTCAAATGTACCTACATTTCAACAGCAGCCACCCAAAGCATTGCAAAACGGGTATTCCATATTCTCAGGCCTACCGGTACCGAAGAATATGCACCGATATGCGGGAATTTGACAGACACGCGGAACACCTAAAGCATTCCTTATTGAAACAAAATTATCCGGAAGACATTATTGACGATGCCATACTACGTGCTCGCAACATGAACAGGAATGATATAATTAAGGGACCAAACAGAGTACCTAAAACGACTTCCCAAACGAACCTTGTACTAACTTACTCCTCATCAGCGCCACGAATCAACAACATACTTTCCCGCCATTTCAACATAATCAGGCAAAGCAAACGACTAACTTCTATTTTCGCGAAGCCACCTCACGTGGTGTACCGCCGGGATAAAAAATCTGAAGGACATTCTTGTCAGAGCAAAAACAAACACCCCCAAAATTCAATCAGGGTGCCATCCCTGCGGAAAATCTCGATGCAAGGTATGCCCACAGATGCTCACAACACGTGAATCCAAAGCGAACTTCTCGGATTTCAAATTCTGCATAACTGAAAGCCTTAATTGTGACTCCAGTAACGTAATATACATGCTACATTGCAACATCTGCGGACAAGAATATATCGGCCAAACAGACACGCCATTTCGGCTGCGGTTCAATAATCACCGGTACCACGCCACTTCACTGCCGAAGCTACCTTTATCTAGACATCTGCGCCTGCCAAACCACAGTTTTGAA